GTACGGGCCCGATGGTCGAAGAAGGAAACACGCCATGAACATAATTTTGCTTGCGCTCCGCGCCGATATCTTGGACCCGCGCTGGGCCCCCCCCCTGGCGGCGCCTCCGGCGCCGCCCCTGGCGCGCTCCGCGCGCCGGGGAGGGGGGTCCGGCGCGAATCCGAGAAATCCGCGCGCAGTTCCAACAGTTTATGTTTATGTTGCATTTCTGTTGTTTTTTGTTCCTCTAGAAGAGTAACCTTTCGCCAGAGTGACCTTTGGTGCGGGTCCAATGGGGGCCCCCCGATCACCGAACGCGATGCGAAAGCAGCTGACTGTGCGCTTGGGTTTGGCCACCCTGCGCCCCCTCATAGTCCGCGTGCCGGAGGTCACTCCTGCCTGTGTAGGGCTTCTCCTGCGTGTGGCCGTTCGGGAGGGAGATGTTCGGCGGCGAGGTCACGCTCAGAGGGCTGGTAGGATTAGGATTATAATGTCCCAGGGCTGGACTTCAACGCTGTTTTGCTTACATTCAGATGTGTTTTGTTTTTCGTGCTGGCAGGGAGGTGCAGGAAAACAGGTCGAGCAACACGAAACACAAAACGATCACACAACGAACAACAACGTGTAGGTCCAGCCCTGTGATGTTCCAACCTACTTTAGGCGGGCCCACCAGCAAGAATTTCGAGCGCTAGGAAAGTACCGAAACTTCAGGGTTTCCACGTGTCGGACCCTGGGAGGCGATACTCGTTCGACACTGTTTCGATACTGTTCGGGGTGCTCGAGATTATTTGTGGGATGTGGTCCTTAAGTACGATGGGAGCAACATAAGATTAGGAGGTGGTGTTTTTTCTGCCCTGTGGTTCGGCGCGATCTGGGCACCCCCAGAGCGCGCTCGGAGAGGCGCAGCCGCTGGAAAAAGCTACCGAGGGCCGAAGAGAACGCAGGCGGTTCGGCGTTGCAGCGCTCCCGAGGTTCGGCGGCTAGCGAGGGGGTTGGGGGAAGTGAGAAGGAGAAGGCTCGGGGGAGGGAAAGAACACACAGACACAAATAATCGTCGAGTCCCAGAAAATCTAAGAGAATGAGAAGGGCGGGAAGATGGAACTCCAGATAATATGGAAAACATGCAAGGAATCCTGGGATTTGTGTGTATTTATTTGTGTGTCCTTGGGCGCCCTCAAAGGCCTTCTCAGAAGGCGGCGGGGCTTCTCAAAAGACCTCCACCCTTCTGAGAGGTGTTGCTGTGCCTCCGGGGGGGGCTCAGAGAACCTTTTGGAAGGCTGGGGGATCTTTGAGTTTTCTGGGGGAGTCCGCCCCTTCTCCCTCCCCCCCCCCGGGCTCGCCACCGAGATGTGCCCACCCAGACATGCTCGCACTGTGACGCAAGTCAGGCCAGGCGATTTTTTCGTAGTGTTCGGCCTCCGGGGGTTCTCGCCGGGCCCCGGGACCGTCAAAAAACGACCCAGGATGAAACATTGGCCCCAGAAAAGGGGTCGGGCTTTCTGGGGACCCCGTTTAATTACCAAAGAAGTCAAGACATCGGATGTATGCACAAACGTGCTTCCCATGGAAATGGAAAAGTGTCACAACGTCGATTGGCACAAAAAACACAGCATGGCCACGGCACAAAGCACACGCAGCACACACACACACACATACACATGGGGGAAGCTGACTGGGGAATGGAGGGGAAGCTCAGAACACCCAGGAAAGCAGGGAAAAGCTAGGGAATCTTGGGATGAGTGCCTCTATCTCTTTGTGTCACCCCCGGGAGCCCCGAGGAGCCGACGAGCGCCCCTCGTCGTCGTCGTCGTCGCCGTCGTCGTAGCCGTCATCGTCGTAGTCGTCGTCGTCGTCGTCGTCGTCGTCGTCGTCGTCGTCGTCGTCGTCGTCGTCGTCGTCCTGAGCGGGGGCCGACTTACATTAGGCCAGGCCTGTCCTCCTACAGGCGGGTCTTGGCAGCAACAGGAAGCGCAGCAGGAACAAACATCAGAAACGATCCAACCTGGTGAGCAAAATCTTGGAGGGGCGTGCCCGGCTTGAGACTGGCAGGCCGCCGCCGCTGCGCGGCCCGCCGCTGCCGCCGCCGGCGCGGGCGCGCCCCGGCCGGGCGGCGCGCCCGCGGGGGTCCGCGAGGAACGGCTGCCGCGCGGAGGCCGTCGCGCGCCCTCGCCGCTCGGCGAGCGCGGCGGCCGCTCGGCGGCGGCGGCGGCGGCGCGCCCGGGCGGCGCCGGCGGGGCGCCCGTGGCGGCGGGCGGCATCGGTCGGCTGCGCGTGAGGGTAGGTCGGGCACGTTCCTCTTGCAGGAGGGGTGTTTCAAAGCATAGTCTGGGGACGATGGTTCAACGAGGTTCGACTTCTGTTGGGGGCATGCTTCTGCCTGTTGTTGTTTGCCCTCCGAACTCCGCCAGGAGGAGGACACGCCCGACCTACACGTAAGAGTGTGACCCTTTGCGGAGTGACCTTTGCGGAGGGACAACGACAGGGGGGAATAGGCAGAAGGGGGGATGCATCGACCCCCCATCGCCCATCGATCGCCGATAGGGGTCTGATAGCCCTAACCTGCTCAGGAAGGTGCGGATACACTATCGGGGGCATATCGCCGATCTATCGGCGATGTGTCGCCGATTCCAGGTCGATGTGTCCCCCCCTATGCCAGTCCCCCCCCCCCTCGTTGCCCCCCACCGCTAGTGCCCGCCCCCCCCGATCGTTGAATGCGATGCGATGGCAGCGGCCTGCGCGCTTTGGTTTGTCCCCCCTCGCGCCCCCACTACAGCCGCGCACCAAAGGTCAGCCTTGCTTAGAGTCACACTTGCGTGCAGCCGAATCGGAGGCGACGATAGGGGCGAATATCAGAGGAGGCAAAAGGTACAGTCAATCCGCATAGTAAGGAGGAGCAACTTCCCAAGGCTACCCCTTCATCCTTGGCGACTTTTGCTGGCCAACCTCTTTGGAAAAAACGCCAACGTGGCCCTCCAAGGCCCCTGCATGCATCCTTACCGTGCATCCTTATCATACGGGTCGACTGTATCCATACCGCTACCATTCGTTCGTTTTCGCCTCTTTGAGCCTCCTGGGGGGCTCTCGTCGCCACCGCTGGATTCGCTTCGGAATTCTGGTCAGAACGCACCCCTGGAGATGTCTTGGAAGTACCGTTATCGTTACATTTGGATTTCCCCCGTATTCGCCCGGGTTCCTCGCCGAAGGCATGGACCATTGGTGCCTTTTTGTACATGTATTGCCCTCCCTTGGGCTATTCGCCCCCATCGTCGCCCCCAGTGGCAGCAAGCGGAGCGCCACCGAGACTCACACCATCCAGGATCGATATTCTCTGTGTATGCTTACCCATATGTCGTTATGTATGCATGTATGTATGTAATAATGTATGCATGAATGCATACCTGTATAAATGTATGCATGTATATATGTATGCATGTAAACGAGTAGGTAGGATAGGTAGGCAGACCTGACAGTAGGTAGGTAGGTCGGCAGGCCGATTGGTAGTTCGGAAGATGTGTGTATGCATATGTGGACATATATATATATGTATATATATATATGTATAAATGTGTGTGAACGTATGTATGTATGTATGTATGTATGTATGTATGTATGTGTGTACGTACGTACGTACGTATGTATGTATGTATGACCCATCTATATGAATGTATGCATGCATATATGCATGTATGCATGTATGGCTGGGTGCTTGACTGTATGTATGCATGTATGCACGCATGCATGTATGTATGCATGTATGTATGTATGCATGTATGTATGTATGTCTGTATATATGTATGTATGTGTGTATGTATGTGTGTTTGTGTGTATGTGTGTATATGTATGTATGTGTAGGTTTGTAGGTGCGTACGTGTGTATGCATGTATGCATGCATGCATGCAAGCATGTATGCACCTATGTATGCATGCATACGTGTATATATTTACATCTGCATGAATGAATGTCTGAATGACAGAAAGTATGCATGTATGGATCTATGCAAACACGTAGACATGCGTGTATGTATGTAGTCCTGATTGAATATGTGCATGCAAGCATGCATGCATGCATGCATTTATGTATGTATATCTGTATGCATGCATGCATGCATGTCTGTCTGTCTGTCTGTCTGTCTGTCTGTCTGTAAGCATGCATGCATGCATGCATGCATGCATGTATGTATGTATGTTTGTATGTATGTATGTATGTATGTATGTAGGTATGTATGTGTGTACGTGTGTATGTGTTTATGTCTGTATGCCTGTCTGTATACCTGTATTTCTGTATGTCTGTGTGTCTGAAAGAGCACGTTTCACGGGCGCTCGCCTTGGGAACATTCGGCGGCGCCTTTCGAACCGGGGGCGGGCCTCCCCCCAACACTCGGCGCCGTCGATCAGAACCATGGGGATTCCCCTCCCCCTCAACCCCCCCCCTTCCCGACCCCCCCCCCTCCCCCCCTCCCAAGGGAGGGAGGGGTTCAAAACCTCCCCTCCCCCCGGCGCCAGCGCCGGCGCCGCCAGCAGCGCCGACGGCGGGGACGCAGCGATGATGACCAGAGGCAGCCCAACGGGGGGGGGTGCAAACACTCCCCCCCGCCGCGCTGGCGCCGGCGCTGGCTCTGGCGGCGGCCAGCAGCGCCGGCGCCAGCGCCGGCGACGGTGGGGACGCAGCGACGATCACCACCACTACCACCACCACCACCACCGCCACAAACCACCACCACCTCAACCCACCACCACCACCAACCCACAACACAACCACCACCACAACCACCACAGCCACCACCACCACTACCACAACCACCACCACCACAACTCACCACCATCACCACCACCACCACCACAAAAACCCACCACCACTACCACCACTACCGCAATCTACCACACCACCACCACAACCGCCACAACCACCCTGGGCCCGCCTTCCTGACCCGCCCGTCAGGGTGTACCCGCCCGATTTGCCCGTCTGGTTCTGCCAGGTGTTTTCTGCTCCTTCCCCCTCCTGCTAGTCTCTCTCGTGCTCCATCCTCCTTCCCTTTCCATCCGTCCTCTCTTACCCTGTTTCGGGGCTGCACCAATTACACGTGGCAGGCAAGGACGAAAGATTCCCAAGGGGGTATGTTCGAAGACGAATAGGGCTGGTATCGAGGGCTTGGTATATACGTATAGAATGGCACGCCAGGAGGTCACTTCTGAAGCAATATGTATTGTTGATCCCCCCTGGGTGCTCATTGTGTGTCTTCATTTCATGTGTTCCGCCTGGTGGCATTCTTTTTGTGTGTGTGTTTTCATATGAAAGGAAATCTTGAGGCCCAGGTTGTGTTGCTGCCCCCCCGTTTACAACAACCACGGCTACCGCCAGATAGTTCTTTTCAGTTTATTCCAGAATCGCGCTCTCGCGCGGGACGTCCTCACATCTTGTGAAGGAATCGCGTTTTTTGAGTCGGACTTCCTCGCACTTGAATCCCACGCCGCGTCCTCGACACTCAGGAATCATTCTCTCGCTCTTGCCTTTCTCAAGTTTACTTGGGAATCGAGCTATCCCTCAAAACCCCCTCGCGAGTCATGCAGGACTCACCTCTTCAGCGACCCGCCTGCTCGACCCGGCCGCTTGGGCCCGCCTTCCCGACCTGCCCCCTCGGGTCTACCCGCCCGATCTGCCCGTCTGCTTTCCCCACGTGTTTTCGGATCCTAGCCCCCCTCCTGCTAATCTGTTTCGTGCTCCATCCTTCTCCCCCTTCCATCCGTCTTCTCTTCCCCTGTACCAGGGGCTGCGCTAGATACACATGGCAGGTGAGGAGTATATGCCCCCAAGGGGGTCGATGGAAGACCACGAATGCGTGGATCGAGGGTGTGGGATATACGAGTCGAATTGCACGCGAGCAGACAGGAACGAACAGTCTTAAACTTATGTTGTTTCTGTCGTCGCCTCTCCCGCGACCCGCCCGCGACCCACTCCGCGACCAGCCACGCGACCCACCCGCAACCCGCCCCTGGTGCTTTGACGGCGCCTGCCTGCGGCGGGGTTCGTCAGAGTCTCGTAGACTTCCGACGACCCCGTCGCCACCTCACTCTTATCCGCAACTGCGGGGTGTTACGTATTCTCTCCCCTGCGGTCTTCAAGTGCCACGGCTAATACATCGCGACATGCGTGGAGCTCTGACGCGGGAGGAGTCTGGGCCACCAACCCGGCACACCGCCGGAGGCATCCCCACAATCTGGGCGCGAACAGGCAGGTATTCCCCTCCCTGGCTAGTCTTGCCTGGAGTCCTCAAGTGCAAAGGCTGCTACGTCGCGATGAGCACGGAGCTCTGAAAAGGGAAGAGACTGGACCGCTTAAGAGGCACACTGGTTGAGACCTCCCGCACTGTCGGCGCGAAGGGGCAAGTGTTCCCCCACCTGGTTGCTCCTGTTTGGGATGCCCAAGTGCTACGTCTTCAATATCGCGATGGTCATGAGGCTATGAAACGAGAAGAGTCTGGGCCGAACAACTCGCAAAGCGCCTGAGACAACCCCAGAATCTGGGCGCGACCGGGCAATTGTCCCTCTCTTTGGCGGCTCCCGCCTGGGGTCCTCGAGTACTTAGTCTGCTTCACCGCGACGAGCATGAGGCTATGGAAAGAGATGAGTCTAGGCCACCAACAAGGCATACCACTTGAGACATCCCCGTAATCTGGGCGCGAACGGCAAGTGTCCCTCTCCCTGGCGGCTTTCCCGTTGGGCCTTCACATGGTACGCCTGCTGCATCGCGCGATGGGCATTGGGCTCTGAAAAGAGAGGGGCCCTGGTCGCAAAACAGGCAACCCGCTTGAGAAATCCCCACTGTGGGCGTGAACGGGCAAATGTCCTCCTCCCGGGCGGCTCCCTCTATTGCTACGCGTGCCACGTCGGGGGTGAGTTTGCCGGTAATTTTGCATGAGTTTGTCTGAGTTCGTCTGAGTGTGACTGAATATGTGTGAGGGTGGTCTGAGCATGAGGGGCTCATAATACTAATGTGAGGCTGTGCCTGAGTCTGAGTGAGCTGGAGTCTGTGCGGGGCGGGAACGGGGCTGAGTGTCAGTGAGTCTGAGTATGAGTGAGTCTGAGTATGACTCTGCTGAGAATGATGCATCTGGGTGCGAGTGGTCTGTGCGTGAGGGAGTCCGAATGCTGGGGACTTCGGGTGGGAGGAGCAGGTGGGAGTAGACGAGGAGGAGGGAGGGAGGAGGCGGTGGCGTCACACTGACAACAGGCGCCCCGCCTCCAGGACATGGGGCACAGGCTCCGCTTCTGGGGGGGGGGGGGGGGGCGCCACACGGGCCCGGGGACCGTCAACAGCACGACTCGGGAGGAAGAGCCTGCCCCCGGGGATGGGGCCCGGGTTTGCGGGTCTGCTCGGGGCGATCGCAATGGATACGGAAGGAATGGTCAGGAGCGAAAGAAGGACGTACACGTACATGAATCCACGCTGGTTTCGAGAGTACGCGTTGCCCGAAAGTTCGTACCACGCGGCCGGTCTCGCAGATCGAGGGGCCGTGTTCATGTA